AACTTGTTTGTCATATTTTTTTTGAATTTTCTTGATAGTTTAAGGAACTTGATTATAAACATGGCTGTCAATTCTCAACAATTCGGCACTAGACTCGACATACCATCGAAATATGTTAATGAGATAAATGTCTCATCCATTAAACAACGACTTGTAAGTCTAACTGCTCTTATTTGTCGAATGGTTGCAGGTAATGTGCAAACAGCAAAAACTTGTGGAATTTGTTCATTGGTAGGCCATCCAACCGATATGTGCCCAACACTTCAAGAAGAATCCGTTGAATACGTAAATGCAGCAAGTGATTTTCCTAGACAATCACAGAGGAATTATAATCTTTATTCAAACACGAACAACCAACGATGGAGGGATCATTCAAATATTAGCTATAGGAATCGACAAGTGAATCAACCCATGAATCAAAATCGATGAGGTTCGAGTATCGAGGCCACGTATCACACCCCCACTGGAAAGCGTGCACAGCCCAACCTGGAAGGCTGAGCAGCCCACAACAAAACCTGCACAGCCCAACCTGGGAGGATGAGCAGCCCAATGCAAAGGCTGAGCAGCCCACAGCAAAGCCTGCACAACCCCACCTGGAAGGCTAAGCAGCCCATCCTTAAGGACAGAGCAACCCAATGCAAAGGCTGAGCAGCCTATCCTTAAAGGCTGAGCAGCCCATGACAAAGCTTGCACAGCCCAACCGGGAAGGCTGAGCAGCCCACAGCAAAGCCTGCACAGCCCAACCTGGAAGGCTGAGCAGCCCACAGCAAAGGCATCCCAGCCTAGGGATTGGCTAGTCTCATGCTGGTGTCTTACCTCCATCCCCGAGGCTTGACTTGCTGTGCATCCCAGCTTGGGGATTGGCCAGTCTCATGCTGGTGTCTTACCTCCATCCCCGAGGCTTGACTTTCTCGAAGTATATTCTATGCATCACATCCCAGGATCTCGAAGCACGAGGCTCCGACATGAATGCACGGGGGCCACTGATGATACCAAACTTGGCAAAAGCTTGAGCATGGTGCTCGAGCACGAGGTCTCCACTTTGACTGAAAGGACATATGACCTCCTCAGGGCACCTAATTTTCATGTCATACTTCTTCCTCGAAAAGATAGAGAGTTCTAGTATTGGTATGTTATCTCATCCTAAAAGGATTTTACAGCCAGAATTCCACTTCTATCCAAACACGTGGATAATATGAAACCAATCATGTAAAAAACTTCTAGTCATGTTAGAACTCCTAGGGTACGTTTTTTACATAATTCTTTAGCACATATTTTTTCACAAATTCTCTTTTTGACTTAAGTATCGAAGAGGCGACGAGGATACACCTCGACGCCTTTGTTTCAAGTATCGAAAGACCTCGTTCGTACTCATTCTCAGTTGTCAAACTTGAAAGTCGACATGTGCGATATTTTGTAGCATCAATTACAATATATATTACTTCAAAAATTTTGGAATAAAAAAAAATGACCGATAGCACATTTATCAATAAATAAATAAGAAGTCAACCTCATGGATATTCGATCTTGGTTCATAATGAACACTAACAACAAGCTTAGCACGTGTAAATCAGACGGGAAGTGATATTTTTGTGACGGTCATGAATAACATGTGAGATCATTCGACATAAAAATTCTTAGTAATGTGAATTAAGATTCTTAATATTGTATTTTAAATCCGAGACTTGGCCGAGCAGATAACATAATACGAGTTCGAGTGAGATAATATAGCATATTCTAAATTTTACATAAACAAAATTTACGAAGCGTAATCCAAAACAAGGGGTTTCAAATCTTGACTAATACCAAGTGAAAACTGCAAAAAAGTTACTCAGAAAGCCAGTCCAGATTGAAGCACTCCTCAACGACCTGAACACAAAGGCCTGGTATGACCTTCTCCACATCTTTCCACACCAAAGAAACCTCTTCGTCACAAATAATACGCCGCAAAGAATGCAATGACACCACAGACAAAGGCAAATTCTTGATCAGTGGACACTCTCTCATATCAATCTTCTCCAGGTTTGTGCATCCACCAATTCCCTCAGGAAGGCATCCCATTGTAACACATTCTGAAATGTCGAGGTATTTTAGCCAAACCAGGTGGCCAATCCCAACGGGGAGCCTCTTCAAATTCGGACAAGAATACAGTCTCAAAAGGAGTAGGAAACTAAGTTTATCCAAATCTGCTGGCAGTTCTTGGAGACTCTCACAATTGGTGACATTCAGGCTCTTCAGTGTATGCATTCGGCAGAGGCTGGAAGGCAGCTTGTTCAACTTAATGCAGTGATCCATAGTAAGTTCTGAGAGGCGAGGGAAAATACGAGGCAGGTCTATAGCTGATTGGTCGAGGCAGTTATCAATATCACATAGGATTAATGAAACTTTTTGCAGGTTTTTGAAGGGTATTGTGGCGTCAAATAAACGAGGGACATATACCTTTTCAAACCAGAGGCTTCTCAAATTGGCTAAGTTGTTCAAAACTGATAGATTGTGAACGACAGCGTTGGAATTGCTATAGTTTATTAGTATCAATGCCCTCAGCTTGGGCATGTTATCAAGGAAAGGAGGCAGGAAGTATTCATTTGACGAAAAATTTAGCACGAGTACTTCAGCTTTCGGACAATCCATTCTGAACCAGTTCATCTCACTCATTTCACCTGCATTAGAAAATTCAAATGAATATTGTAACGCACGATGTACTTCACTAACAAACAAACAACAAATTCACAGTTCTAAAGGGAAATTTCTTCCACATGCTGAACAAGAGTTCTTATAATATGACTGGAATGTGCTAATTATATATAAATGGCTAATCCTTTCTGTTTGTTCTATCAAAAGTGGGAAATTGATAAAAAGAGGAGCCGAAATCTTGTCCAATTATTGTGCAACTAGATTCTAAGCCATCGAATTTATATGATGCCATAATAATCCTCGTATTGAAAATTAAGAATTATCCAGTAACAGGGATTGCTATACCTGTATGCACTGAGATAATCTGTGCATTGAATGGTTGATCCATATTCCTCTCCCATTCTTTTGGTAGGCCTTCTTCTCTTCTTGGCATAAGCAATCGCCTCCGCTGATTTATACAGCCAAAATTGCTTACGTGTATGGCAAGATCTCTTAATATATCATGCTGATATACTGAGATTTCATAGTAACTGCTATACTTATCTCCCCCTCTGGTAAACAAACATTTTTTTATGAAAAGATTTGAAGATTGCAAATAATTTCAGATCCATAAATTTAAGTTGTATATTGAAAATCATAGGATTCCCTTTATACCTAGCATCTTTCACCAAGGTCAAGAGATTTTTATCTGAAAGCTCGACTAGGATGGCGAAAGCATCTTTTTCCTCAACGTCGTGTAGTTCCATCCACATGTTAATAAGAATATCAAGAGGGATTCTCTTGTCCTCCGGGAAGGCACCTAAATCCAAGAAACAATCCCTCACCTTATCTCTCAAGGAATCAATACTCAATTTCATCCGCTCCAGTAACTGAACTTCATGAGATTCACAAAGAGGTTGGCTTCTTGATAAGCGACTCTTAGCGCTTGTCCAGAACATTTCAGGCTGGTCCTTAAGAGATGCTCCAATCACCTTAAGAGCCAATGGCAACCCTTTACATTCATCCACAACCTATTGAAATTGGAATATTTTTTCTGTAAGCATTGGTAATAATCAATTATAAGAAAGAGATTTATTATCAAGACAAAATTAATTAATCATTACCTCCTTAACCAATTGTTTGTCAGCAGTAAATGGAACTGAAGATTGCCCAAAAGCGAAATGGCAGAATAGTCCCATAGCCTCATCCTCCCTTAACAACTCCAATTCATAGGAGCTGTCAACAACTGATAGAGGGAACTTCAATCTCGAAACCACGATGATTTTGCAACTAGTGGGAATTTTGAATTTTAGCTGTTCAAGTACTGATTGTGACCATATATCATCCAAAATTAGCAGTGTTCTTGAAGAAATTTCAATATCATATTGGAGTTTTACTAGGGAAAACATGTTGCCGCTCGAAACCATTTTATTCCCTGATATCATTTCCCAAATCTTTGCACTCAATTGCTCCACACTGGGAGATTGAGACACGGTGAGGAAGAAAATCCTGTTATTGAAATAAGCTGGGACACAGAATCAACTCATATTAAGATTTTGATTGAAGACAATATTTAAACGAATAAACGAAATAGTTAGCAAGATTCTACTCACCCTTGATTTGATCATCTTTGCAAATTTCTCTAGCCAAAGTGGTTTTTCCACTGCCCCCAATTCCGTGGATACCAATTACAGTAACGTCTTTGGCCATTAGCAACTCCTTTAACTTCCTCTTTCCCAATTCCATCCCGGCGCTTAAATTGGCCAAAGTGCCTTCGAACCTCCTCTCCTCTTCCACCCTGTTCACTGCATCACCTAGCCACCCACCACGGTCGTCCACCCCAATCTTCATGGACTCGAGCTGTCTTTCCAGACGAGGGAATTTCTCGTCTATGCCAACCCTAACATGATGCACATCAGCCAGTACGTGCGCCTGGATTATACCGTTCATGAATCTCGATACGAATTTCTCCAACTTCTCCATTTTTTGAGCCAGTCGCAGGTTCTTGTACACGTTCCAACGGGGAGAATTGACGACCTTGTTAGCCAGTTCAAGCCCATCGGAGAGTCTCTGGGAGAAATTATCGAGCTGGCGCTGGCGATGTTGAGGTAGCTCGACGCCTGTATGCTTGATTTCCTGTATGATGGGGAGCAGCTCTTCGATATATTGTACGAGCTGCTCGGCGCTTGAACGGCAGAAGGCGGATTTTCTTGATATCACAATGAGCTGTTTGAGAAGTTCGGTGGCAATCTCGCCGGCAAAAAAGTCTGTCACCGCCATCTTCGGTGGCGGATTTTGGTTTGTCACCTATACAGAAATGGTGAAATCGAAGCATGTCTTGAACTCTTGTAGTAGAAAATTAACTGACTGGACGTCATAAACTGACAAACATAGCCCTGTTCAATAAAATAAAAAGAACCAAGCTTGTACAGAAATGATTTTACCAGAAAACCAACAAATACAAACATAGGTGGGGCCGGCAATTTTTTTTTTCAATAGATCAATTATACTACATGAACATAATCATTGACATAATCATTGACACAATGTCATATGATAACATATCATTGGACTGTTCAAAACACAGTCAATTTTTTCAACTAATCACATCTTTCCAACATTTATTTTGTCAACTATTATGTTACATTTTTCGGGCAAAATAGCATTATTCATATTTTATTCACATGGGGCCCACGCCCCATGTGAGATTCTATTGGTTTCTGGCAAAACATTTTCTGTACATCTACCTTTATTGAAATAAAAAATCATTTCTGGTTTTATAGTACTTTCTAATTTTTTTTTAATTAAAATTAATGAAATGTATATTTAGAAGTTATAGATCTCATAAAATATGATTAAAATTAATTATTGACTTTCACTTAAATTTTTATCGAAATTTTAAGCTAGACCAAACATGACATAATTGTCGAAAGATAGGCATAGATCTGGCGGGGCCAGATGATATTTTTGAGTTTGACACGTTATGAATAAGAATTCCTGAATCTTACAATTTGAGTGGAAAAGGCCAATGCTTCAGGTCCCCACTGAGGCGGATCATTGACGACCTAACGTAATGGACCAGTGGTCCATCCCACTTTGAATTGAAATAAGGTCTTAGACAAATACCATATATTTTATGATAATTTTTTTAAAAAAAATAAATAATTAAAATTGAACGTAAAATATACGCTGAAACATAAAGTACGACACTGCTTGTCAAAAATCAGCCTCCAATCTCGAAAAATCAACGGAAAATTGAGAGAAAAAAAAAGGAAATCTTTCACAAATTAGCATAAACAAGATAGAATTTACTTCAACATTCATTCTTCAAAGTTCTCTTCCCCAAATTTGGAAATACACAAAGAAAGTCAAATGTTTTTTTATATTTTCAACTCTTTCTTTAATTAGGTTTGATTTGTACCTTATAATGTAAATAATTGGTATTTATGAAGTTTTTTTTTTTTTAATGATTTTGCTATTATGATTGGAAGCATGTTGGAAAATAACATTGTTGTATTTGAGAAGAAGTGAATTTGTTAAAAGACATAAAAAAAAATTAGCTTGAATAAATTAAAATGATGCATGCAATTTGTTTGATAAAAAGAGAACGTGAAAAAATGACATTCTATTATTTTTCTAAAAAAAAAGTCACAATATCTCATTGAATCAGTTGATTAGATATATACGTCTGCGATTTTGAAAATTTTAACATACAAATCCATACCTTTATTTTATATTAATACATATGAAAAAGAAACTTTGAATCAATTAGACTAATGCATGCAAGGTGTTTGCTCAAAAGGAAAATGTAAAAATGTAACATTCTGTTTCTTTTCTCTTACTTTTTTTTTAAAAAAAAAGTCGCAATATTTTATTGGAGCAATTAACTACATGCATGCGTATGCGTTTTTTAAAATTTGAACATACAAATTCAAACTTCGTTTTATGATAATACACATGAAAAGAAAATTTTGAATCAATTAAATTGACGTATGCAATGTGTTTGCTCAAAAGGAGAATGAAAAAGTGAAAAAAAATAAAAAATAAATCAAAGTATCTCATTAGAGCAATTAATTAGATGCATATGTTTGCATTTTTTAAAATTTAAATATAAAAATTCAAAACTTATTTTTTATTAATATACATGAAAAAAGAAAATTTTGAATTAATTAGATTGATGCATGCAAAGTGTTTGCTCAAAAGGAAAATGTGAAAAAGTGACATTTTGTCACTTCTCTGAAAAAGGCATAGTATTTTATTAGGGCAAATAACTACATGCACGTGTGTGCGTTTTTAGAAATTTGAACATAGAAATTCAAACATGGTTTTATGTTAATATACATGAAAAATAAAATTTTGAATCAATTAGATTGATGCATACAAGTGTTTGCTTTGTCACTTTTTCTCGAAAAAAGATTCAAAATATCTCATTGGTAGAGATGGCAAAGGGGCAGGTTCGGGGTGCGAACTTGTCCCGTTTTCTACCCCATTTATTTAATTTTTTTTTCAAAAATTTCTAATTAACTATTTTATGTTTTTAATTTGTAATTAATTATTTTTTTTATTCTTCACGGGACGGGTTCAGGGCGCTTCGGGGCAGGGCACCCCCTCCTCGCCCCGCCCTACCAACCCATCAGGGCAGATTTTTTTCGACACATTCGGATCAGGTCGGGGCAGATTTTTTTGCCATCACTACTCATTGGGTTATTAACTAGATGCATATATGTGCATTTTTTTAAAATTTAAATATACGAATTCAAGTGTTTTTACGTTTATACATACGGAAAAAAAAACTTTAAATCAATTAAATTGACGCATTAAGGCACAATCTTATTAGAACAATTAACTAGATGCATATGTTTGTGTTTTTTGAAATTTAAATATACAAATTCAAATCTTATTTTAATCTTGTATTTAATTCATATTTTTTTGGAATTAATTCAATTGATACATCCAATGTATTTGTGAAAATAAAAATGTGAATTTTCTCGGTCACTTTTTCTAAAAAAATCACAATATCTCGTTGGAGCAAATAACTAGATGTATACGTATGTGTTTTTTAAAATTTAAAAATATGAATTCAAACTATGTTTTAATCTTGTATTCAATTCATATTTCTTTGAATCAATTCAATTTATGCATCCAAAATTTTTGAAAAATGAGAATGTATTTTAATCATGTATTCAATCATATTTCTTTAAATCAATTCAATTGATGCCTTCAAGTTTTTTGCCAAAAAAAATTGATTTTTTGTAACATTTAGGGTTCGTTTGATTGCGAATGTGGAAAATGGGTGGAAAGAAAATGAATTCTTGGGAATTTAATTGCCTAAAAATTATTTTACTGAGAATTGTAATTAATTGTGTTTGATTTGTATAATTTTTCACCTGAAAAATGTTGAAAGTTTGGTATCCATTTGACTTTATTTTTCATGAAAATTGTTCATTAAAGTGATAATTTTTTTTACCATTGGGTCTAGAATTTGTTCCAATTTTCAAATTAAAAAAAATTAATATACCGAATACTATTCGTTTGGCTTTGTTTTGCATGAAAATTATCAATAAAAGTGATAATTTTTTTTTTACTGTTGTGTCTAGAATTTTTTCTAATTGCCAAAAAAAATTTAAAAATAAAGCAATTCCATTTTGCCAAGAAAATGGATTCACACCACTTTGGCAAGAAAGTCAATTCCTTAAAAACATGGAAAATAGGTTGATGTGACACAATTAAGGAAATACAATTTCATGACAAATTTTGTCAATCAAACAAGTAAAAAAGTGAGAAATTGAATTCATTTTCCATTTTCCTTGGAAAATTAGAGTTATCAAACACAACCTTATATGAAAATGTGACAAAATTATTTTTTTTTCATTTTAATTTATGTTTTGACATGACCTTTTTTGGCTTAATTACAAGCTATTTTCTTCACTTGTCTGGTGAGTTTTGTTATCGTTTCGAAAAATTCACGATAAACTTTGAAATACATCTTTCAAATTTAAAAATCGATAAACGATGAGTTCATAATAACAAGCTAAAAATGCCGCATGAAATAATTGTTGTTTCTCTTGCGTTCAATAGTTCAATAATTCATGTGAGATATTTTTTATATTGAAACTTCGTCCATAACATATTCATCATGGCCACATTACAAGTTTTCTAACAGATTTTAAACCACTTAAAATATATAATCGTAACATAAAATACCATATCAAAATTAAACTTTTTAATAATAAAATGTTTAAAAAAATGAAAAATATCAGATTGGGGGAATGTTGCCGTCTTGGAATGATTTTGTTGATTTTCAAATGTTTTATATATATTAGGTGCAAGCAACGTGCAATGCACGTTTGAGTAGTTTATATTTAATAGTTTTGTTTAAAAATTAATTTGTTATTAATAAAGATGTAATTTTTTTGGTTAATTAAATAATTAATGATGTAATGTTTATGTAATTGATAAATAATTAGATGTGTGATTTTGATGTTGTGATGTAAGTTGGTGAGATCGAAGAAAATAAGTAAAA